CCCACTGACTGCCCAACGTTCATGTCCAATTTTTACCTGGTGGTGCTGTTGAGTTGTTCGCAGTTGAGGTGATAAGGGGAAGGAGCTGACACCAACAAAGAAGCTGAGGGGAGAACCCATGCGACCACGCCTTCTCCTCGCCTTATGCAGCATCGTTGTGTAAATACATAGGGAGTCGTACTTCTCCGCTGGGAAAGGGGGTCGTATTTGGTCGTTGGGAGGGGGGGTTATGTGCCTTCACGAGTAATTTGCTGCGTTGGGAAAAAAATTTATATGCCCACCCCCTCTCACCCCCTCGACAGCAAAATTTTTGGAGGAAAGTAGGATAGTTTTCGGGGAATTTTCGGGATTTCGGAAAAAGTGGTAAGAAGTTGGGGGAAATCTAAGGAATTTTCTCGTTTCACATTGGCTATAAACCCTCCCCCCTCTTCCCTCCAACTACCCCCAACTCCCCGTTCGACGGAAAATCCTTGGCAGAAGAACTGTAAAATGTGGTAAATTCTAGGTTGGTGCTGGGGAAGTGGGGAAGGGGGGGGGGGTCGTACCTACACCATCATTTTACACATCATGATGCTGCACCCTGTATGCAGGACAAGCGCGGTTTAGCATGGGATTCTATATAGGGCATTTTTCCTTGACTTTTTGCTGCTTTCTTCTTGACTAATGAATCATTTGCAACCTTGTTGTTACTATCTGAGCCGCATAACTGATCATTTTCCAACGCGTACTCTACTTTAACTTTCACGTTGTGAACACCTATTACCAGAGGGATAACATATTAGGCCCCAGTTTGGCGCTCTTCGGCCTAGGGGGAGGACATTTTGCATTTTCGCCAATTCCTTCGCTAGTTACTGTTGAACGAAACGTCGTACCGTGGTAAGAGCTGTAAGCTCTTGTCAAAGTAGCTCATCTCAGCTCTAACGATGCTTTGCTCCTACATAGCTTCACAGGGACTTACTCCGGTTACGGGCACTGGTCAACTAGACGTGCTCTCGCTGCGAGAGTCCAGGGTTATTTTCACGGGGCACCTGTCCATTAAAGGAGGAAGAAAAAAAGAAAGAGGCCTCGCGGTTGACAAGTGCCCTGAGA